CGCAATCTGTCCTTTTTGGTGCGTGTGCCTGCTTTTTTGGTGCGCGATAATTTTTGCGACCTTGTTGTCGCTGCTTGAGCTTCGAGTTTCCTGGCTGAGCATTGAACCCCCTTTCTGCACCGAATAGCACACTCAGAAAGTCAAGCTACAACTAGCAAAGCGCAGCCTCTCAACCTACGCATGCAGTATGTATAGGTAGAAACCTGACAGGTTCGAACAAGAGCAGTATTTGATGCTATATAGTCATATAGTGCGACAAGGCCTGTATGACTTTACAACTTAATGAAGCTGTCTTGGTACTGCAAACTTAAGACTATCTCTCCCATAGCTTTGTCAGCAGAGGTTGCCGAAACGAGGTGGTTCCTGTCTCACTCCATGCACATGTCAACCCTGCTGTGGAAAAGTTTTCAAACGACCGCAGATAGGAAAACTGGGGAACAGGCTGACAGTTCGGTCTAGGAACATGGAACATCTTGGAAGTTGAAGAGGCTTGAGTCATGTCGCTACTCGTTTGATTGTGCTGGGAACGCAAGCTCATCCGTCGACCGTTTCTCTCGGTGATAACTCTGAGTCTCTGAGTTGGATCGGCAAGGCCGTGGACGGGAGGGACGGAGATTGCGGACGGTGGCGGCCGGGCACTTGGCAACTTTGATGAAGGCGGTTGCATCAGTCTCGCCAGCTTCTGTGGCATATCACACTGTGCTAAGAAGAAACGGAACGAGCCGCAAACCGCGTTGCCCTCAGCAGGGGCTTGGCAAGTAAAGCTTTCAATGCTGGAACACGAAAGGTCATCAAACATAAGAGCCTAAGCTTGAAGTGCATGTTGCGGTTGTCGTCAAGTTGTTCTCTTCACTGTAGAAGCAAGCCTATCAGGCGGCCGGCAGCCGGACAAGGTTCAGATATTCCAGTTGCCCTTTGCATGAACCAACGCTACAAGATGGCTGGGCTTCCAGGTGCAACGCCTTGAGCAAGAAAATGCGGCGCCGGTTCCCGAGTTTGACGAGGTGGCAGCAATTTACAAGCCAAGCTCTGCCCAGGCTTCGCGAGCTCGTTCGGCGCTTCCACATCAAGCTGAAAGAAGATAACACGTGTAACCCGAGTAAGGCTCCGGAGCTGGAAGCCTATACGGCTCTCTGCCTCTCGGTTCGGGCCCTGTCGTTTCAGCAGGTGCAGCCAGGCAGAGATCCTTGCGCAGGGCGCTTGCACCAAAAGGCCAAGTTGCGGAGTTCTGGACTGTGGCACTCTGGGGCATCTCTACAGCGAAGTGCAGGCTGTTTCTTTGCCTTCCGTGTGGTCCTCGCCAGAGCCGCTCGCAGCACGGCGCTGAGAAGTGATTGACCATGAAGAAAGTTGTAGGTTAGCAAAGTGCTCATCGACATTAAGCTTCCATGTTCCCTTCCTCCGTCGTCGGCTTGGGCTGGGCGGCACGAGTTTTGCAAGGCCGCGATGTTGCGGCCTTCGCGTCGGCGCCCGCCACTTCCTCACCTGCTTCGCTGAGCGCGACGTTGCAAATCCCGAGATGATTTCAAGTTCCACGGTCAAGGAGTTTGGTCCCGGCTCTGAACCTGTCGGACATATGGGTGTCTTGGCTGTTTGGGGTTGGCGCGTAATTTAATTGATAGTTGTAGGTATTGTCGGCCGCAAGCTTCGGCTCTTCGAACCTAATGGTCGGAGGCAGAGTCCCATTTATGGTGTTTCAGGGAGCCGGGATGCGGTGGAAGCAATCTCGACTGGTCTGAGTCTAGTATGCAGTTCCGGACTGCTCCCAGGCGTTTCCCAGCTTCTGCTTGTAGATGCAGAGTAAGGCATATGCAAGTTTCAACAGGGGCAATGCTGCAGAGGAGTGCATGCTTGTGCTGTGGCTCAGGATTGCTCAGAGTATGTCATATCCTCAGAATCAGATACATCCCGGCTGTCGCAGCCAGCACAACATACCCCTGGCCGAGGAGGAGGAGGAAGAGGAGGAAGCGGATGACAATGACGATTCCGAGGTGTGAATTTCTCGTTGCATTCCTGCGGACAAGCACGGAGTCGATCGGCCTAGCGTCCAAGCAGCATTCCCGCATTTTCGTGTGAAGGTCTTCGATGGCGATGCAGCCATGGCGGTCCTGGTGGCGTAAATATGCGTCAAATCCATTTACAGTGGCGGCCATGTCAGCAGCAGTCATGCTGTTGTTTCAGGACAGGCTGTGCATGGAGATTGCATGCGGTTGATGGATCACTGGACGCCTGCTGTAGCTGCTGCAGAGCTAGCAAAGGCGGGCTCGTGTGTCCGAAATGGAAGCGCAAGCCCAGAACTGGCCAGTTAGCGGTTGCAGTTTCACAGATTTGTGTGGCGAGTCCTGCCAAAGACTGGCAGTGCCATCATAGAGAGGTTGCAGTATTGCCGTTCTTTGTGCTCTCGGGGAACATGTTGGAGTGCTTGCTGGAGCATCTGATCTGCTAATCGCATATTGGTTGCGTGCAGGAGAGATAGCTGAAGTTGCATTTGATAACCTTTTCGGCTCGCCACTCTTGTGCGTTGTAGCCGCTGTCGAGCTGAAACGGCTCATGCCTTATGTTCTTGCGAAAATGAGTATGGCTCTTGCAGCTTGTGGCTGTGTTTGCTGCCAAGGTGCCCTGAAGAATGGGCGCGTGTAACTGTTCTGGCGAGGCATGGTGAGATATGTCATGAGAAGAGCAACCCAAGCATGAGAGTCCTCGTGCAGTCGGCAAGATGCAACTTCGGTGACAAGCAACCTGTCGCCCCTTGGAGCCATTCAGTCATAGCATCCATTTCAAGTTTATCGTCGTAAGCTTAAGGTGAACCTCACCCCTGGGGCACAGGACTGTCCCTGCATGTTCCTTTCGTTTGCTTTGGCCTCTGAATCTCTGTATCGACGGTGCAGGATCAGGCAGGCGTCCAGCGAGGGCCCGGTGTCTCGGCGTCGTCGGCAGCTGGCAGCTCGCTGCCCAAGGCCGAGCTCGAAACGTCCAAAGTAGGCGTCCGTGGCAGTGCAACGTCTGGGCATCCTGTGTCAAACGTGTCAGGCAGCGGCAAAGCAGCTTGAGGTCCCGACCATACGCAGCTCGACGGGCATTTAGACGAAAGTTACCCCTGCGAAAGCTCGAGAATTCTGGACACGGAGGTTGTGTCCAGAGCTGACTCACGTACAACAGCAAAATCCTGACAGCGTGACTGTTGTCGAAGAAGTGCCCACCATGTTTCTCTACGAACCAGAAAGCAAGGGTGCCCGGAGTGGGGCTTTCAGTCATCTCGGCCAATCGCATTCCGAGGACGGGATGAAAAAACAACAGGACTTCCGCAGGCCAGCGATGCTGCAGTGATGAAGCATTGAAGTGTGTTGCATCACCACCACTGGAGGACACTGATGGCTCCGTCCTGGAGGTCCGAAAACCGCAAGATCCGTTCTGTCATGGTCGCACTCTGGCACTTTAAGCGTAACACAGCAAGAGAGCTCCAGCTTACAGGATGTTCGCATCACGTTAGATGATGGCTCGGCTTGGTCCTTAAAAATCGGTCAGACTAGGCAACTGCACCGGCTGGCCGTGGCCGTGCCAAGCACATCAGGTCTACAACGGACAGTGCCGAGATGGTGTTTTCAATGGGGAGGTCGCAGATGAACTTCGGAAATCCTGTTGTTGGCAGCTCTTGAGTCTTCTGCGTCGCATTGCTTCAGGGCACGCTGACAATGCCAGACGGCGCCGTCTATGAGGGCCAGTTCAAAAATGGAAAAAAGCACGGTGTGGCAAAGTGAGCCATCGCTGCTATCGGATCGCAACTTCTATCTTTATCTGCCATGTTCCGTCCGTCAGGTACACGTACGCAAACGGAGCCATCTACGAAGGTGAGTACAAGGAGGTACCTGCATGGGTACGTGTTGTTTAGCTATCTTTGCTTAATGACGGCTCGTAGCTGCACTTCACACAGTTCGGGCGCCGGATAGCTGGCACATTGCCAGAGTATTCTGAATGCAGCTCAGGATGCCAAGGACGGAAAGGGCAGACTAATCTGCGACGGCATCGGCACATTGGCGGAGGCAAGGCAGTTGCAATGCTTGTCAGCTTGTCCTGCAGAGCCGTACTGGGGCGCAGCCACAAAGATTTCTTAGCTACGCACTTCCCTGATGACCGGAAAGTTGTTGAAAACTGTTTCGGGCACAGGCCTCCACCTACGAAGGCGACTGGTTGAACGACCTGCAGGCAGTGCATCAAAGCCATTATTAGTAGAGGTGGAGCCCGCAATCACTGGGTCCACTGAACCGAGTCAGTTGGGATCCTGAACACGTGGCAGCACTTCAGTAGGATACCAGACTCCAAAGTTGCAAGCCTCCCGCCTCTTGTATGGCATCGGATCAGTGGTGCCCGATCGAAGGTTCATAGACGGTGCCACGAAGCTTTGTGGTTGTTTGCTCTCAGTAGGAACGCGGAGATGAAAGGCGGACTAAGCTGCAGTCACCATCATGCCCAGCCTAAGCCATGCGTCTTGGAAGGACGGCCAGGGTATTGAAAGATGGGGCGATGGCTCTGTGTTCACCGGCTCTTTCAAAGATGGCAGGACCTGCTATTGCTCCGGAAATCTTGCGGTTCGTGGATGTCCACCAGCTGCAGGAAACATGGCCATGGCAAGTTCATGTGGGGCGAAGGCTGCATGTACGAGGCATCGGGACGAGACTGCTGCAGACTCAGTCCAGTTTGCCTCGGCATGCTTCGGCAAATTCCAGGGAAGCTTCCTCAACAACGACATGCACGGGGAAGGCTGGATTTCAGTTCAGGGGCTGTCGCGATTGGGAAGGCTTGGTTTGCAATACCACTCATCGCCGATCAGTCACGGCCTCGAGGTCGCTACGTCTGGGCGGACGGCCGTCAGTATAATGGTGAGTGGGTAGAAAATCAAATGCCGGCAGCTCACACTTCAGGTTTACGATGGTTTTATGGCTTATGTATCTCTGTGTATCTCTGACCCAGTTCATGTCCAAGGCACGGTCCTGGCACAATGCGATGGCCGGACGGTCGCATCTTCGAGGCCAGGCACGTGCAATTCGGTGCGGGGCATTATGAGCTCTCAGCATGGTACGATTGCATACGATGGCATGTCATTCCAGGGCGACTTCAGCCGCGGCAAGAAGGCCGGGGCGAGATCCGGCCCATTGACGCGCAGCCGTAGCCGTGGCATGTGCTCTGCCGCTTGCAGGAAGGCGAGGGCACCTTGACATGGCCGGCCAAAGGCTCAGACACGTCATGGCCCGCTTGACTGCGTGGCCAACTCGATGAGCCGATGTCGCTGCCATGGAAAGCCTCTGTCCTATGAATGCGTCATCGTCTGCAAACCAGGACGGTCGTACCTACGAGGGCCAGTGGGCTTGTCCCTCAGTGCAGCTGCTAGAGAATTAGACCCTTGGGCTTTGGACTTAGGTGCGTGTCTGTATTCGCAACTCTGTTAACGAACCTTCGGGAGACATGCACTCTTGCAATATCTGCTCTTTGGACTGGACGCATGCCCACAAAGAGTCGTGGGTTCCTCTGCTGTGACTTGAACGAAAACACAATTGACCTCTTTGCAATTGCTACGACATGGCTTCGTGCACTTACCACAACTATCTTCTGCGGGGCATTGAAGGCTCTCTCCCCCTTTCTCTCTGTCCCCGCCCTCTCGCTGTCCTGTTTCCATGTCGTGCCGAGATCCATGGAAAGCAGCACGGGATGGGCGTGGTCACCACGTCTAAGGCCCCGTTCCCGCATGAACTTTTCAACCCTGCAATACATGCGCCTCTCGTTGGCTTTTGGAGTGGCAAGTGCCCCGGTCGTCGAATGATCGTTTGCTCAGGGCACAGGTCGCAAAAGCTACTGGAAAGATGGAAAGTGCCTTCCCAAGCTAGTGTCTTGTCGGCGTCAACGTGCATGGGGGTCTACCTTGTTTCAAGGTTCATCAACTGGGTGAATACCAACTGAAGCAGGCAGACATGTCTTTCGCGAGTTGCTTTGTTGGCCGACCGCGGTTCTTTAGTGTTTGACAGCTGCGATGACATCCAGACGATCTGCACTCAGGGTAGTCCAGCTGAGTCTGTAAACAAGATGAGTGTCTTTCTTGCAGAAGCTGCCATCGCATGCAAATTTATCCCGTGCTCTGGAGCTTGGTGCAATCATCAGTGCAGCATGCTCCATGCAACTGAATCCATGCGTATGAAGCAGGAGTCAGAAGCGTGAGCCCGTTCTGCAGGAGCTGTCCTGTCACCAGACGTGGAAATTTACCTTTGCCTAACGTTTGAGGCTTAAGCGCTCTCACTGCGCTCTGCCCCCACCGTTCAATCCGAGCTGCATATGCAAGTCGACCTTCGTGCACAAGAGGTAATGAACGAGAAAACAACAGCAGCCAGGATGTCATACCCTTTACTCACCTTTCTGTTGATTTTCCGATGGCACCAAAGGTGTCATTGTCATGGCAGCCGCAAGGCACGCAGGCACAGAGCGTGCCCGCACCAACTGGATGTATACCAGATGAGCTGAACCAATCGCGGCCCTCCAGTGGTGCGTGTCATTGCCCTGCATTTCCGCCACACCCTAATTGTCAAAATGTTCGCAGTCGCTTCCTCATGGAGAAGCAACCAGGAGCCGAAGCCATGTATTGCGAATCCTATGTGCGATAGCAACATCGGACTGCTGTAGTGGATAAATCTTGGTTAATTGCATGTGGTTGCTACTTTGTGGATGCTACACTTGTCGCATCAGCTTGGAAAGCCTCCCGTTCACAGAGGGGCACCAGGTCGTTTCACAGCGCGAGAATGTATCACAGCGCCGCCCAGATCATGTACCTTACTGCGGCTGATAATGTTTCTGACCACAACGCTCGCTCATGGGGCAAGGTCAAGCCGGTTATGCGTTGCGGGCGCTTTGGGGCCGAGAGTCGCAGTCATCCGCTCCAGCCGTTCATTGCCACAAACGCTTGGGATGCTCCATAAATCTCCAGAGAGCCTCGCCCGGTGTCCACGTCTTGCTGGAGTCTGCTCTCCTACCAACGTGGACCTCAACTTCTGGCAGGAAAAAGCAGTCCAGTATTGCTGATGCCGTACTATTCACCAGTTACTAACAGCTGCTCGTCAGAGCGCTTCGCATGCATGTTCGGCCATGCTGCATTTCAGTTTTTGGTTGCTGTTCCATGTTCAAGAGCGCATTCCATTGCCTAATCCTGAGCCATCTCCTTTCCAAGCATGACACATGCAGAACCCACATTTCCAAGGTGGGGCTTGATAGCATAGCACAGCAGCGCAACGCACATTCCAAGCAGTTTCGCGACTTCTTTGACAAACCATGTCAATGGCACTGCCACCAAATTGGCAACGGTCGCCTGTGGCTTTTTTTGCAGTATCGCGTGTCCTTCGTGAAGCTTGCCATCCTGCATCCATGTTTGCAGGTACATAACCGAAGATGGCAAAGAATACTTTCACAATGCGCGGCTCTCAGCACGTCAGTCTACCGAATCGTAGCGTCGTAGCTGTAGCAGCCAGTTAGTTGTTCGAGACGCTCTAGAGGCGTGTGTAAACGGTCTCAGGCTGTTATGAACAAGACACAGTGGGATCGACCCAGCTGGGACGAGGTGCGCGAACAGAACACAAATCCAAGCAAACGTGCTGCGATACTTGCGGTGCTGCGGCAGGCTTCTGGCACGTCAGATGTTTGGTTCTCAGATGTACTCAGGAGGGGAAGCGTGGGTTCAGGAACTGCAGAAAGCATGCAACGGCATCATCCAGGCTTGACATGTTCTTGCAGTGGCAGAGTGAGCCGCCATGGTCGTGGGTGCATTAGCTACGCAGTGCGCAGGCGTTGTGGTTTACCTCAAGAGTTGTTAACCCTTAGAAGCACCTGGCACGTGCCAATACTGGTTCAATGAAGATGCCGGATGTTGCATGTAAGCAGTCAACAGTTGCTCCCAGGTGTTTCAATACAAGCCCACTGCTGCAGACCTGGAGGCATTGTTTGACTGCCAGGACTTCCTTTATGGCCATCTGTTCCCACATGCCATGGACAAGACCTGCTGCTGCTATGCTATGCCGGTAAGTGAAGAACCGCTCATGTCTTGAGTGGCCTTGGCAGGTTCGTCCTCAAACCACCCCCGTCTCAACTGGCCGCCAGGCCAGGCTTGCAAGAAATCATCCTGGAGAGTGTGGAATTCCTTGCTGCTCTTGTTTTTTTTCGTGCTTGGGCCTTGGTGGGCCTGGCCAGTACGAACACCCACGAACAACAACGAACAGAAGCAACTTGTGCGCAGAGAGCAGCTAGTCTTGGGTTGTAGCGTAATGGCAAGTGTAAACTACACGAGCAAGACTTAAGCTTCAGTATGGTCCGAGCCCTCGCAAGCAGGAGTTAGACGACATCTTCATGGGGGCAGCCAGGAGCTGTGAGTCCGCTGAGACGATCTGCAAGGTGGCCTCCACGTAATCCTTGCATCTTGCCGAGGCTCCGCAGGCCAGCGAGCTGGTGTCTTTAAAAGACGAGCCCACAGGAACCATGGGTCACCGGGTTGCACTTTTCCATGCTGTGCCCTGCCGACAGGCATCTAATGCTCGTAGGCATTGGTCCGGGGTGATTGATGTCGCAGCTTTCGTTTCAAGCTGCTAATCTTTTCTGCCACGATTTGTTCTCGTTCTTGGTGTCAGCAGCATGTGAAGCCGTGCAAGCTCGCCCAGGTTCGAGCAGCCAGAGTGCCACGCAAGGTTCGCACATCCCACCGCAGGCATCAGCAGGCCATCCGGCAAGAGGAAACACCGAATGCACCTTGAGGGCTATTTAGCCGCTAGTTGCATGACTGAAATGCATGTTCATGTCGATGTTTGTCACCAAGCTCTTTCCGACGCTTTCTCCTTGCACATTTTTGTAGGACAGTGCGACAACTCTGCAGCAGTCCTTCAACAGCGTCTTCCTCGCCACATGAAGCCATTTGGATCTGGAGTAGTTGCAATCAGCCTGCGGTCATCATCCGTCCCAGGGCAAGTTCCTTTACTTGACAAACAAGTCGTATTCACACGCAGTACCGAAGCAAACATCTTCTTGTAAGTCGACATCGATTGAGCCCTATCTTTCACACGACTTGTGCCATGTTCCGATTTCTAACCCGCAAGCTGAAGGCCTGCCTTGTACCAGCCTATCCAGAAATAAGCAAAGATTGACGCGCCAGGGCGAGGATGAGAAGAAGGGTGAGGACCTGGCCTTGTCACTGTTACTTGTACTTGGGCACGAAGTCTCGAGTCTTGCAGATGAGACTCGCGATTTGTGACGGAGGACATTTATGCCGACTTGGAGCCTGAGCTCAAGGCAAGTGGCCCTGCTGAAACGGAAGTTCACGTGCGAGATTGTGTGAAGTGGCTCTGCGGAAGGTGCATGCAGCTGCTTGCAACAATGACGTGAAGATGCTTGAGAAACTTGGGGAGGAGTCGCTTCTCCAACAGGTTGTGCAAGGCTGCAACCTTTTTGGCAGTAACAAGACATGGGTGCTCGAACCATCGAGTCAGTCCATCTGCCAACTGTCAGCCATCTGCATATCGCACTGCAGGAGGGTGTCGATTTCAACCAGCCCAGACCACAGGACACCATGCGATTTCTGCTTGCCTGGAAAGCATGCTAGATAACATTGCTATGAGGCCGTATCTTGTCTGTAAGCAGGATGGTTACTATGCCCTAGATGCCTGCGCCTGGCAGAAGCCTCAGTTGCACAAGGATAGTCGAGCGGTCCGTGCACTCTGTGAGTTCAGTCGCTCGTCGGCTTCACGGACGACTTGGTCAGTTGATGGGGTGCTTATGTAGCACACAGGTCTGGAAACGAAGATGCTATCAAGATGTTGCTGCGGCACGGCGCCGACCCCGCAATTACCCTGCAGGCTGATTGCGAATGTCATCCTCCAGTTTCTGCATAGTGTTCAACTCACGGACGCCATGACCACCATGGTCTCAAGATCTGAAGCTTGATTTACAGGCTATCGTGGGAGCAGCCTCCTGGGGAGATCCCGATCTCCTCAAGGCGGAGACAGGGCCCCCGTTGGAAGAATGGTCAAAACAAGCAGCAAACAGGTGCTGCTCGATGCAGGAGGCCCTGTCGACCAGGTGGGTCCAAAGAAAGCGTTCAGCTGAGCGTGTAAGTTGGAGTTTCGCAATCCAGGAGCTTTCCAATGAGACCGCGCTCCGCTGGGCTGTGCAGTACGGCCACGAGGAGCACCGCATGGTATGCTATGATCAGACTGAATCAGACTGTCTTTTGCTTGTGGTGGCTACGTTCTGATAATCCAAGCTGTAGAGGACTGTGCAGCTCTGCTGGTGCGGAAGGCTCTCGCAAGAGCTCTTGATGATTCCGGCTTGACACATGACATGGCCAGGGGGCATGGAAGCTCGAAACCAACCAGGACCAAGACATTGTTCAGTGTCTGTGTTGAGTGTGAGTGCTGGAATGGAGTAATGGAGCATGGGGATATTATGTGGTGTTTTTGTCAGGAGCTGGTGCTGCGGAGGGCGAAAGGAACCTTGGCGAGGGAGTCCAGCTGCTCGTGTAGAAGACGTAATCATGCATCAATCGGCAGCTTCTCTCTGGCAGTACCGGCGTCAAGAGCTCGCTTATGTCCTCTCATGCGCCCCAGGAAGGAGAATGCGGAAGCTTCTGGAGACCATCGCCCAGACAGATCCTGATCGTGCAGCAGACTGTGTGGTGCCGCCATGTTGTCCTCCGCCGCTGGGCTGAGAGTGCTGAGTGCAAGAGAGTGCTTTGAGTTTAGACTCCGGCCATCGAGTTACTGGGCCGGATACTGCAACTTCACTACTTTGTGTGTGTCCTGCGCGGCCAGCAAGGGTCTGTTTTTGTTCTTTCAACACAGCGCAGCAAAGCAGTGGAAACGAATCAGCCCGTGTAGGCAGTGTATTTATCTGGTAGCGGACCTTAAGTCCTATGTCACGCCTTGATTCGCGGAGCACCCCGCGGAAGGACAGCATGTTGAGAGCTTTGGGCATTTCGGGCTTCGGCTTCTCCTGAAGACTTCGAGCTGAGGTCTTGCAGCATTCAGTGAGGCTCTCTGCTTCGTAAGGTCTGATGCCGTGTACTAGCCTGGATGTACTCCCTGATGTTCAGGTCTGTTGTGTCACGCACACGCAAGCTACCACTGTTGCCGTGGAGTGCACATCTAGATTTTTCGGCCTGCGGAGCACCTCATGTACAGGAACGAGCTTCTGGGTTGCTCCTCTGGCTCCCAAAGCCAGTTGCAAGCATCATTTTCATGCCTTGCAGATGCTAAGTGCAGCCCTGAATGGGGCAAAGGCTACTTGCATCGCGCAGTAAAACACGGGCCAGCCAGCCCTTAGACTCATGACTGATTGCAGTGCGCTACGTCTCGTCCAGGCGCTGGTGGGCTCGGTGGCTATGCTGCAGGGTTTGCCGCAGGCATCCGACCCTGCTGGCAAGACTCCGTAAGTCTGCGTCGCGCCGTGCAGGTGCCGCTGCTGCAGCAGCAGGAGGTGCAGCGCCTGCTGAGCAAGGCTCGGACATGATTGTCGTTTGGTTGATCAGGAAAGTCTTGGGAGCACTTGTGGAAACAAAGGAATCATTGAATCATTGCCATCGTCACATGAAGGTGGCATCACAGGTTTCTCAGCCTGGGTATTGGCACTTGCTCAAAGCCTCTTTGACGTCAGAGGCTTAGCAGGGCACTATCCCGACAATAAGAAGCGTACAAACGGTGACGCGCGGCGCCAACTGGCCAGTTGCACCCAGGTCAGCACAGATGATGTGGTTCGTCGGCTGAAGTTGCTCTCGTGCCCCCTGCATTGTTGAATTTCTGAGCTTAGACGTCCCTTCCTGATCGGCTGGTCACAGCAGGCCCTATCCTGCTCCAGACAGGTCAACAGCCGAGGAGAGCGAGTTTTGCCTTTCGCCCATAACCCTGTGACGGAGAGCAGTTTGCGTCCTCCCCGCCCGCGTGCCATGTGCCCACCCCCTCCATGCCTCGCATGTGTCATGGGCATGCCCGCAGTGCAGCTTGATCAGCTGGTGCAAACGCTGTGCAAGGAGATGCGGGCCCGTCCTGACTTCTACGGTCCGGCGGCTAAGGCTCGTTGCTTCTTCTGCGTGACTGTGTCAGAGCATAGGACCCTTCTGGATCGCCACCACGGCCGTGCTTTTCCTGGCAGCCACAGGCAACTTCGCTAGGCAAGGGAGTGCCGATCGATCCACGCTCTGCACTCCTGGGCAGTGCCATGCAGGTTGGTCGAATCGGAACACCCCAGCCTCTTCAAGGCTCCTGGGTCCTTGGGTCAGAAAAGGAAATACTGTCCAAGAGATGCTCTCTGCCAGGCAGACTACAGCTTGGTGCCCCTCGCTGCAAGCATTATCTACGGGCTTCGACCTTGGAAGAGTAGAAAAGATGAAGATCAAAAAAGCTCTCCAATTCTCTCCTAGAACCGAACCAGGGGCTTGATTGCGGTGCCGCTTTTGGCACGAGTGCCGGCCGCCTGAATCGCTTTGTCGGTGGCGAGATATGTTGAGCTTCCTGCTGTCGGATGCTTGGAAGGTCCGTGTTCTTCACGGATGAGGAGGCCTGCGCAAATTCCCTATGCAGCATCTGCACAGTGGTCGAGTCTGCAAATGGGCACAGAAAAGCCGCACCACTGACCTGGAAGGTCGGAAATATTGACTTCAAGCAGATCATTTGCGTGTGTGGGTGCCGCCGCAGCAGGATACGATTTCGAGATTTTTCAGGAGCAGCTTTTATTCCCTATTTTTTGAGTCTTGAGATGCCCATCTCGTCGCCTTGAACAGCGTGCATTTAGGTATGGATTGGCTCCCTCGATTCCAGTGTACCTTGATCGGCATAGAAGCAGGTGCTGAAATCTTTCGTGTGGCCTTTCCCGCCGCAATCTGTGGCACATTGCATGTTGTTCGATGACCTCAGATGTCAGTCCATCTTCAGGTCCATTCTTTGCATCATTCCAGTTTCCTTCCTTCGATGGGTCTTTGTGCTTGGAGGCATGCGCTGCTGTGACATGACCTCGCATGTTTCAAAGAAGGACACTTGATGTCTGTTCAGGGCTGGCCCTTTCCGTCTACTTCTTAAGGGCCAACTTGCTCATGGACTTCTCAGTCAAGGTGCCAAGGCCTTAGTCCTTAGTATCGGAGTCTGCATCCGGGCAAGGAAACAAAAGCGCGTTTTCAGCATCGGCTAAGGCGATGGCTTCAGCTGACGCTCATCGTGTCCCCTGTGCTCCTGCAGGCAGAGAGATGTGCAGCACACTGCATATGTTCAGATCAGGCCAAGGCAACCATTGGGGCTCATCACCCTGCTGGGGTTTGTGGATGGCCGCGAGACAAGGAAGTTAATGACAGGTGCTAATGGGGCAAGCGCGACCAGATCCATCGCTGACCTTGGGGCAGGTTTTGGTCTTCTTCATCTACAGGGTGCGGTTCTTTGCAGGCGACCGGCAGTGACAGAAGCAGGGTGTGCAAAGAAACGACCTCTGCATCGCCAGAAAATCGAGCTTGCGTAAGCTACTGCAAAGCGCATGCGCACCGCAATCAACGCCTAAGCCTAGGTAATCCGTGCATACATCGGATGCATTTTGCTCACTGTCCAACCACACTGCCCTATTACAAATCGAAATTCGAAACAATCTGGCCCTCCGCCGTTTCAGAGTTCAAGCAGAGCTCGAGTGAACTCATTCTCCAAACTTCCCGTGGAGCCATGGAGGCAGCCCAGGCGCAGCTGAAAGAGCAGGCCAAACTGAAGATCGAAGATGAAGTCGCTGGAGAAGCTCCTGGCTGTGTCAAGCCCTTCTTTATGTGCTGTGGTGGACCAGTCGGCACGGTGGAGAAATGCATGTGCATGGTTGCTGCGGAGAAGCAAGACAATGTGAAGAAGGCCATCGAGAAGTACCGGAAACTGTAGCACTGTAGGGGATGGACAAAGCCGACTACCGCGGTTTCTTGATCAGAGAGTACAGGAAGCAGTGTGGCACTAGCCTTGGCGAACTCTCACATTTTCAGCACATGGCCCGTCAAGCACAGACTTGCTTGATATGTCGCGCCTGCGCTGCGCAGTGCGAAGTGGTGCCCCAATAGCAAATTCAGTTGTCTCTCTTTCTCTCAAGCAGAATTCAGCGAGAGTGCAAGAGCCATTGAAAAGGATCCTTGTGATGTTGGGACGGTTCCTTTCTTTCTGCTGTTGTGATCATGCTTCGCCCAATTCGCATATTGGCAGGTCTTGGTATGTCAGCACTGCAGGCTCTGAGTTGTTGGAAGAGAACAAGAAGCCACCCGAATTGCCGTCACTTGCGAGCAGACAGACTCTTGATATCTCCCGGTTGCCTACAACCACCAACTTTCGTGAACACTTAGTCACGAAGTGACACTCCAGATTTGCGCTGCCACTCATAAAGATCAATCACGTTGGTGCTTTCGAGTGGAGGAAATGCCCCAGCCGCTTCCAGTCAGTCTTGTAAGTTTCTCAACCAGGCTGCAGTTAATACCACTGCAAGACCTGTGGTAGTCCTTGAGTCCCATCCTGGTCATGCCACGCCGGGGCCGGTCCGGCAGCCGGCATCGCACCCGCCGCCGAGCGGGCTCGTCGGCACGGAGGTAGCGGGGCTGGCAACACGCTGGGAGCATCACACGAAGTAGGCCGTGCTGCGCCACCTTTGCGAGTCTCGAATCGCTCCTGACAGGCAAAGCCGGAGGTCACGAAGCCGAGCCAGACCGTTTCTTTCCCAGCTGAGCTTTTGCCATAGCCCTGCCAATTTGCTCGAGCTTGTGCAGTGAACATCAGGCAGCGCCGGAAGCGGCAGCGGGAGGCGTCTTCAGCATCCGATACGAAGAAGTTCCTCAGCGCGCAAGCAGAACCAGGATAAGCAGAGAGCAGGCCGTGCTTGTCTAAGAAGGCACGCAGCACCCTAAGGGCCCTAGCCAGGCTGCCTCTGACAGCACAACAATCGTCGTGAGAGTTTGCTGAGAGCATGCAGCCGACATGCGTCAAGGAATGCAGAAGCAGGACCTTTGGCTGCAACATGTGGGGCAGTGCCAGCGCAGCCGTGCCAGCCGTGCGAAGTTTCGCCTCATCTGGTCCACTGTCGAGGCAAAAAGACAGAGGGCAAGAAAGTGAAGAAGGTGAAGGCCACCCTCTTGTGTTTTGCTTACAGGTCCAGCCGACCTTTTGAAATTGGGGCGGGAGGACAAAGCTAAAGAGAAGCCGGACAAGGCAGAAAAAGCCGAGAAACCGGAAAAACCGGAGAAGGCTACAAAGGCTGGCAAAAGCAAAGCTGAGAAAGCCGACGGTGAGAAGGCCTGGGCGCATCGTCCAGCCGGTGCCGAAGATGCCCTGTTAGTTTGGTCCGAAACATGGCACGTTCTGCGCAGGCGGACAAAGCCAAAGCAGAAAAGCCTGAAAAGGCCTTCTTTGGCACAACGTGGATTTTGTTGCAGTTTCTGGCAATGTCTTGCTGCGGTTTGGCATCGGATCCGATTGCGATGCTGGACGGGTTCAATTTCGGGATCGTTTCGCAGTTCTGCAGGCGACAGGTAAAGCTGGTAAGGCAGACAAGGCAGTCTGCTTCATGTGTCGGCCACAGGTCTGGTGCAGAAAGTAGGAGTGAAGCCTTTGTGGAACAACTGCATGCATCTGCGAGGCAGAAAAGCCGAAGAAGTCAAAAGAGGAGAAGGACAAAGGAGCCGATGCAAGGGTCGATGCAGGGGTCGATTGCAGATCTGTGCAAAACCTGTACTGGAAAGGAGCTGCAGCAGGAGCTGAGGACGGAGGGAAGCAGAAGACGAAAAGCAAAAAGAAGGACCAAACACCGTAGCCAGACATTGCCTCGCTGTCCTCTTTTGTAGGGCTTTCGGAGTAGCGTCAGAAAAGCTGCAGGATGCTGCAGCAAAGGCAGACGCAAAGAAGAAGCCGGCCAAGGATTCTCCTGCCATCTGAACTGTGCATGGCCTGTTGATGCCTCTTGTGCTCGTTGGCAGGCAAAGAAGGAGAAGCAGGGGTCCGACTCCGACAGTTCCGATGACAGCTCTTACTCGTACTACTCCTCGAGTGCCTCAGCAGCTTCAGCGAAGCATCGTGATCGTATCGGACTTGTCACTGTTTTGCACCTGATGTAGTTGAGCCAGCAACACCTGAACAAGGCAGCCAGGGCGACGAGCAGCAGCAGCAGCAGTTCATGAAGCTTGGCGCTGTTATGAGCAGTCAGGAGCCGTGCATACTCTGAAGAGTCCAGGGCCTTCGGCTTGCCAGGGGTAGGTGAACTGGGTTCCATTTCCGAACTCGATGGCAAAGCGTTTGAGCACACCGGGACATGCCGAACCTGCGACACCGCGTCCACAAAAATGAAAAGTGATCTGCGCACATCGACGATGTTTCGCGGAGGTCAAAGGCAAAGCCAATGTGAAAAGACTGCACCAGTGCCTGCAGGCGAACCCGACGAGTTGAAAGCCTTCAGGTGCATCGACGGACACCATTGTGTGGTGCGAAGGCCCGAGACTCTTTCTGTTGTCTGCGTCCTTCCGGCGGCTCCTTTGAAAGCTCCACGCGTGTACGAAGTCGACCGGAGCGTTCCCAAGATCGGAGCTTATTGAAGGCTGTGTCTTTAACCAAGAGTTGTGACGCCCCCGTCCCGGCAAAATATTGTTTATGGAAAGTTTACGATTTTGTTATGGCTTCGGGTCTCGTCCCGCTTACGGTTTTGATATGGGGAGGCTACGGTTTTGTTATAGTTTGTAATAGTTTTGAATGTGGTTATGGTTTTTGCCACGTGGAGAAGCACGGCTCGGAAAGCAGCTCGGCTGCACGTCCGGAAACCACATCAAAAACATAGCAGACACATGTCAAAACCAGTCCTGGGGGAGGCTGGAGACGTATCGAAATCGTATCAAAATCGTTTCGAAATCGTATCAAAATCCCATCCGAATCGTATCCAAGCTGTATACAAAACGTATCCAAATCGTGCAGTTCATAACACAAAAACTCACAAACCATATGAAAACAAAACATGACCAAATCGTAAAAGAAAGAAAATCATAAGAAAACCGTAGCCGGAAGGATTCCAGAAATCATATCAAAGTCGTATGGAAATCGTAAACATAAATATATCTGGAAACGGCTGCTTCCAACGACTCTGAGCGTCACTAACCTAGAGATGCATCTGCAAGCACTGATCCGGCACAGCTACGGTTTGGTATTTGCATTGCTCTCACTTTCGTTTTGTTCGTGCACTGCTCTTGGCCGATGCGCCTGGTATGTTTTGCCGCTCAGGAACGCCATGATGCCCTGGGCGATGATGCAGGTTTGTGGGTTCGATTCTCATGTCATGTCACGACGACCATCAGACAATCGTGCGAGTTTAATTTGTTCAGATAGAGCAGTGGCAGTGAGTGCTGATAGGCTTGGCAGTCAACACTTGACACTTTCAAGATCGAAGTGGGGAAGTAAAAACATGTTTTGTCGAGCAAGCTGTGGACCATGTATAGATCTGTGGGTGCTCACACACCAGGCGCTGTTGACACCCAGGACCGGCAGCACAACATCACAGACTTGCAGCAAACCAGCTTTCGGCACAGTTGGAGATCAGGAATGAACAACAACAAATAGTAAAGCGGATCCACTATCCACTTGGAAACCTGTACCAAGCGAGTTGTAAGATCATGACATTCTCAAGGCACGGACAGCCTCCGCAGCTCTTGCAGCCTGCTTTCACGCCTTGTGCCGTGAAGCCGTTGTTGCGCGCACACATTCCGTCCGCATTGGGTCCGTCCTGCTGCCCTGCATACTGTGTGATTTGGCATCGTACCACACCCCGCCGCCCCAGATCCCTTTCTTGTTCTGTCCTGTCCTCCTGGTCCTCCTGTCCGAGTTCAGAGGCGAAAAGAAGCGTGCATCAAGTGACAATTGCGATCTGGTGTCAGCATGCAAGGTACAAGACTGCTAGGTCCTAGGTACCCATTCACAGTCCAGACTGCTTTGTGAGTTCTTGTAAGTAGTGCACAGGAAGTACATTACACGATCGCAGTTTTGTACTGCGATCGAACAGCACCTCGTGACTGTTTCAAGAGTTTCAGTTGCAACCTGGGAGTGCTTCGGGCAGATACCAGTGGCATGTTGCTGTCGAGCAGCGTCATACCACAAGCGCTGAGATTTTGTCGACTCCCGGCTCGCTGCGCACTATGTGCCGGGGCTGGGGAGCGACTAGTGATGTCGAATAGCTCGTAGGTCGTTTGCTAGATCTGCAGCTATCAGCTCCACTTGGCCGTCTGAGGCTTTACCATGGCCTACAATTCTCTAGCGCCGACCCCCCCCATGCAACGTTAAGTCTGTATACACTAGGGCTTTCATTGTCTATTGAGTTTTGCTTGGGGCGCTGCAGCTTTCCTTACTTGTATCTGTTCTGTCGCTTGTGAGCATGCTGCATGACCCATTCGGGCATCTTGAGGCTGGAACCGTAGTGCATACTAGTACGGTTGGTCTGACAGGCGGCGCCCATTTCTTTCATGGTGGCACAGAGAACGAAGCATGACGAGAACAGAGCACGATGACTTCGCAGAAAGACGAAAATCTACTGTCAGCCATGGTCACATGTTTAAATTGCTACTATCGCATCAGTGGCATGAAGACAAGCCAATATGATACATCAGGTCTAGTGTCGCCTAGCCTAATCTGAGGCCCTAAAGTAGCTGACACAGCTTACAACGAAACAACCGGCATCAACCACCGTTTCACCCAAGGCAGCATTGAATAGCCTGCCTTTGCACTTCACGCCTCGATCGCATAGGTTCGGCATGCTGTCACGACTCGCATAACTCGGCAAACCTTGGGCAAATGCTGATCTAAGAACATCGGGGCATTGCCACTCATGTGTTGACAGCTGTTGGAAACGACTTGAGCCAACGATCGTCTGGGTGAAACTACATGCATGCATGCAACCTGATTTGGGCGGAAATCGGCAAAGCAACACTGCTGTGAATACGGACCGTGCAAAAACCAAAACCCATCTCTCCTGGCTGCCACGATGCAGTCCCCTCTCCGTGACTTGGCGCAGTGCAGGGTGCAATGCCGACGGCTGCCATGGGCACCTCAGGGCAGCTGGGCATGGCTGGATATGCGCAGTACGCGGCAGGCAGGCATTGATCATTGAGAACCTGGTTGCCGCCCTTTCGTGCCGTGTTGCAAGCCAGTTGCACATCTTCACAGGCCAGTATCCAGGATATGGTGCATCCTACGGATACACGGATCCGTATGGAAGGCCGTGCTGACTGCAGAGCGACAATGATCAACTAGTTCGCGGTTGTTCGGACTGATGTTAAAGGAAAAATGCTAGCAGGTATGCTTATGCATCGTCCACCTGTGAGGCCGTATGGTGCCAGCATGGGCGAGCAGGTGCCAGCAGGTGCCAATCCTCAATGGTCGGTTGATAAGCCGATGCAGTGTCTGGCTGATTCTCGACTGTCAGACTGAGAACTTGTCAGCGCAAGTTTCAAGAAAAGCTGCTCACACAGAGGCTTCGCATGATGGTTTCCTGGCAAGGCTACCAGGCTCCGCCGCCGCCTCCTCCGCCAGGTGTTCCAGGAGGAGCCGTCAGCCTCTGAGATTTCAGGTTCCAGTTGGCCAGGCTTTCTTATGCGGTTGCTAGGGAAGGCCGATGATTGCCGCATGGCTTCGATTGTAATTGCTCCTTGTTCAGCAGTGCCGTCCTGATCGTCCACGCCATAGCAAGCCTCGATTTGCCTGCGTGCCTTACCTAATGACTTTTGAGGTTGGCGGGGCCTCGTACATGTGCCTTGGCTGCAGCATGCTGCAGCACAGAGAATGGCCAAAGTCAGCGCAAGTCTTCTGCTCGCACGCACGCTCTCTCTCTCTCTCTCTCTCTCTCTCTCTCTGTCTGTGCCTCTCTCTCTCTCTCTCGGTCTTTCTCTTGGTCTTTCTGTGCCTCGCTGTCTTTCTCTCTCGCTCTCACCCTCCACTTGGGTCACGTGACTGGTGTGCGTTCGTGGCCTCCTTTCTGACAGGGCAGTTTATCTTGTATAGACGGCAGAGGAATGTTCATGTCCTCTGCAGCCGGTTTTAAGCTACTGCTAGTAGAAAGACTGTCCAAAGCGTGCAGGCATGGTCCACTGACAGAGCACGACAGACTCGCGGATGAGCGCGACAAAGCACAATGCCTTAGTTGTGGACACTTCGAGTTAGCCAAGTCCTGGAGTCCTAGAATGAAGAAGAGTTTCGGTGTGAGCTGACGATTTTGCGGTGCGTTCAGAAAGACCTCGACTTCTTCGAGTCTTCACTCTAAGGCTCGTAGACGTTTAGAAGATGAAGCGCGGCTTCGAAACGAAGAACTTCATCGAAAAGCTGAAACTGAACCTGGGCCATATCTGTGTCTTCGTAAGTTCACGGCATCGTGCAGCAGGCATGGGCAAGGATAGCACCGAGAGTGTGGCAGGATCAAAGGCCTAGAGGTCTTTCCTTTTTGGATTTTGGTCCTTGCAGACTCGCTTCGCATGTCGTCCTAGGAACGAGCCACGGCTGCCGTCCGCCATGCAATCAACAACCTTCAGAACGGACAGCTGCTGGACTGAAGTATCTCTTGTTTTTTCAATGCGTGCTTGAGGACAAGCCTTCTGTGAGACACTCGTACGTTATAAGGTTCGACTCGATTGATGGGCTTCTGAAGGCACGGCTCTCAGGGTTGCCGGAAAAGGCCGATGAATGGGGGCCGGCTGGGCCGGAGGTCGCGCTGAGTTATGCCCCCGAGACCTCGAGACAGTCCCAGAGACGCTTCGAAAGTCGCACTTGCGAGACCTTGGAGTCCGTGGCGGCGAGGGACCTGTCCAAGACCGAAGGTCTGCAGCAGATCCTGAAGAAGGACATGGACAAGGCGAAGCTTTGAGTGCCCCTCCCATGGCTGCCTTGGTGGCTTCAGAAGGTACAGAGCTCTTGTGTTCTGTCCGAAGGCCATCGAAGAAGCTCAGCAAAGGCGAGCCGTGATGGCCGAATTGAAGTCCATGGTCAGGACCCGGCAATGAACCCATGTGCGTGCTGAGCCGAAGTGAGTTCAGAAAGATTCACTTGTGTTTGCAAAGGCTCGATGCCTTGTTTAGCTGTTGCAGGAGTGGTGAGGACCACATTAAGGCCTGCCGATGCAGAGCGGTCCACATGAAACACACAGGGAAGTACACGGTGATTGTCTTCTGTTTGAAGGCCACAGCCGAGCTGATTCGCGAGAATGTGGGGCTGCAGAAGGAGCTTTAGTCTTGAACCCCTGAAAGACTTCTCCAGATCCCTGTTTGTTTTAGTGTGGACGCCATCTCGTGCAAACATACAGGCTACCCTTGAAGCAGCTTTGCAGCTGATGATGCATCTCGCATCCCTTCTTCTGGCAGCCAAGAAGAAAGACCCCTAATTGACCCATGTTGGTTGCACTGGGAGCGAGGCTCAGGCCCTGCCTGGGACTCCCCTGATGCCAGACAAAGATGACGAGGGTGTAAGGACCGAGCTCGTGATGCAAGCATTGGCATACACCCGGCTAAACACTTGTGGATGATGGGATCGAAAGCGGCCAACACCACACACATGGAGTCGACAGACCTTGCGCAAGCACTCGCTGCATCAGCAGATTGACCAGGTGTAGCCCAGCCTTATCGATCGTTGCTGCATGCTGCAGAGTTTATCTTGGTCCCTGTTGATGTCATCCCCTCTACGACATCAGCAATGGAGAGCGGTGTCATTGCTTGTGGAGAAAGTCGGCAGTTGTATAGCTGCACGTTTTGCTTGATCCAGCGGCATTTAGCCTCCGCCAGGAAAACGACAGGGAAGACATGAACGACCAGCTCGAAAATGCCGGCCTGGAGGTGAGGGTGTGCGACATTACCTGAATGCCCGGTCTCAGCAGACCTCTTTCAACTCCAGGCCCAAGGCATGAGCGACCGGTACCAGTCGTTCATGGACGAGAAGGCGAAGGAGCATGAGGCGCGATGCCCTGAAGTTCAGAGACTAGGTCGTATCCGTGTATCCGTGTGCAGGAACTCCAGAGCTTCACCAAGGGCCCTGCCTTAGTTGATCTGCGCCTCGTCATCGCGAAGATCAAGAAGCTGAGTAGCCCCTTGACCGCGAGAATCTCTCGGTTCTGCCTGCATCATGAATCAAGCCCTTCAATGGAGCCTCAACTGCTATATGCGGCAGGCGACCTGACAATGACAGCCACGAATGCTGTGGCGAGCTTAGCCCGCCTGTGCTTACTCGACCTCTCGCAGCCCGAAGCCCATGCCGACGCCTCCTAGCCGTCAACACGCACAGAAACGCGACTCTTCCATCTCGTGCTACAATGCTCAAGCTTGGCTCAAGGCTTGTTTACGGCCAGACAAGACAAACCAGGAGATTGAAGTTGCTCGGGCGGCTGAGGCTTTCTAATGACGGAGCATGAACATCCAAAACTATCCAAACTATTCCGCTCCGTGGATTTCGTCCCGAAAAGTCTCAACTGATGTCTGCTGTTAGCAGCTAGGCTGCTAAGCTTGCGTCCGAAAGAGGCCTTCGACCAACCTGAGACATGGAATCTGGGCAGTCGACCGTGGACACTGCCGGAGAAATGTGACTGTTGTCACAAAGACAGAAAATGTCGACAGTGCGATGATGATCTCTGATGGAGAGATGCATAGAACAGCATGGGAACAGATCGCACAGCATGCGTGACTTTGAGCTTGTTATTTGTACCATCAATATTATACTCACATGAAGAGCACGTCGGACAAGTTTCCACAAAGTGATGTGCGGTCAAGCCCGTTCTGCTTCTGAGGCCAGCGTCGTGCGGGAGGGCAAGCAGAAGTTGGCACGGCAGGAGGCGGCCGTAGCGCGAACCAAGCGCATGCAGGAGCCGGGCATACGGGGAGCTGCTGAGACCGCTCGCATCCGCTCGCAGTGCTGCGGCAGGAACTCTTCGACCAGTACGATGCTGACAGCGACGGCTGTTTGTCTCAGCTGGAGGTCCTCCAGTACTCCCAAGGCCTCGTTCGGCATTGTCGTGCCACAAGGGGCACTCTTCCGGGCTCTGTCGGACGCAGGAAAAGAGAGCAGTCGTCCTTGTGCAGGTGAGTTTGAATTCACCCCTGCAGAGTCCTGTCTAGTGACTTAGCTGAAGCCAGGAAGGGCTGATCAGAAGCTGCAACACGTGCCAGCACGTTTGTGCGGCTCAGGAGCGGCTCTGGCGAAACTGGGTGCCAGCAGGCCTTTGCTGAAAAGGCGAACAGAGTGATTGTTCCTGCAATTCAGCCAGGCATGGCTGGCATCACTTTCGACCGCTTCCAGCAAATGAAGGTGGCGATCGGCACGGCCCGTGTCATTGAGCGGGACCAGGAGTCTCGCCAAGATGCCTTGTAGTTCTCGGCTCCGCGACGTGGTTTCAAGTTCCCGAAAGACGAAGCCAGGAGAGAAGACCAGCTGGCGTTGCTTAGGAGGCTCCCTGCATCTCGCCTCAGAAGGGGGGACCTTTTGCGCTGGAGCTTCGAGTCCCAGGCCTCGGCGCCTCTGATGGCTGACGCGCTGGAGTTAATGCTTAGGGATGCTTAGGGCCTAGCAGGGCCTAGCAGGGCCTAGGGCCAGGGCTGTCAGGGCAGGAAGTTCACTGTAGCAGTCTCAGGTAGAACGTGAGGCAATCGAGGAAGGTGAGGCCTCGAAGACGGAGCCACAGCAGAGCTCTTGAAGCGTGCAGATAGGACTCACAAGTGCACAGTGATTGCAAATTGCAGAACAAGCTGCGCCGCACCAACTTCGTATGAGTCGTGCACCCGATTCCCAGAGCTATTGGGATTTTCAGACTTCCATTGCAGTTCTGACTTATGCCTCTGTGTCGGCGAGCTAGCGGAGCTTGGATTTCCATGTCACCGTAATTTCTCGTCACGGCTACAACCATCCCAGCAGGAAAATGAGCGCAACACTCTCCACATCACATGCTTCCGGGAGTGTACTGTGGCGTGAGAACTGCGCCAGGCTGTTATATGCTACATTAGATGGGACGCATGCTCTACAAGGCCCGGCTGGTGCAGGTTTGGGCTCAAGGCAGCAAGAAGCCATCCAAGCCGCGTCCGATACTGGTGGCGCAGCTGCCGAGTTGGATGTTTGGGGGAGGCTTTTCCAAGAGCAGGAGCCCGGCAGCATTCCGCCTGCCAGGACGGATGGTTTGCGACTCTGGGATGAACGTCGACATTGCAGTGGCATTGTTTGAAAAGGGCTATGCGGAGGCAGGGGATGCTTTCAGTCAGTCTCGATACCAACACTTATTGCAAAAAACCTGCATGGTGCAGCACAATGTGCCTTCTGTCGTGGAGGCCAGCGTGCAAGAGGCGATAAAGTCCTGCTCGACTCTCGAGGAGGAGCCGGGTTCACCCCGGCATAGCGGTTCAGCATCCTGTGTAAGTGTGCGTCGTAGCAGATTGCAGGCCATGTCGTTCCTGAACCCAAAGCACAAGCAGACCAAGGTGCTATCTGCCTTGTAAAGCTCTGCAAACAGGTCTTTCTGTCAGCACTGTTTAGCGAACCCTTTACTTTCGTCTGGCAAGAGAGCGAACACGAAGTATGCCGACCGCTTCGGAATCCCAAGGGCTACCAGCATCTTGGGACTTCGTGTCAATCAGGTGTGTCAGTAGTAACTTCTGCTTAGAGTTCAGAGATGGCGTGCAGGTGCACGACTCGACTGTGCAAGGGGCCGGTGACAGGCAGCGGCAGGGATTGCTCAAAGTCTCGCTGTGTCGGTTTCTCTCGACTCAGTCTGTCGTACTGTATGGTCGCTACTCTAGCATGTAACCCTGCCAAACTAAGTGCCATGGCCCACTGTCAGAGGCCACGTCGGCGTGCGACAGGGAAGAAGGCTCAGACCGCTTGGAACTCAGTCCTTTGGCCCTTCCCTGTGGAGAACTTGTGGGGTTCTGAACCCAGGGAAGTGTGGCCGGAGCTCCCTGTACTGGCCCCAACGAGACCGCAGCAGAGCAGGCCCTGCACAGATGAGTGGATGTCGAGATTGGAAACCGGGCTACAGCATGCTTACAGTCTTACAGTTTTCGGATCAGTTTATTTTGCGACTCGCGTAGCAGAGCTTGAGTTTAGTCT